TAGCAGCAGCAGCAGCAGCAGCAGATCCGCAATCTCCTCCTCCTCCTCCTCAACACCGAGACCGCGACGAAAACGACAACAACAATAACACTCAGATGATGATGATGATGGATCTGGAAGAGTGGTTCGTTGGGATTCTGAACGAGGAGCTTGATAAGTTCAACGATTTCTTTGTCGACAAGGAGGAAGACTTCGTTATTCGCTTGCAGGTCCTCCTCCTTCTCTTCTCCCTTATTTCTATAATAAACAACAACAACAACAACTATGTGGATGCGGGTATATGCTATGGTATGATAGGGGTTAATCATTACAAGTTTTCCGACCCATCCTCCACTTCTCTGTAAATTGTCTATATGTGTTAGATCTGCTGGTTCCGGGTGGACCCAATTACTCCTTTATTAATTGAAGAAAGATATAATTATATATTATATATATATTATATATATATATATATATATATATATATATATATATATATATATATATATATATAATATATATAAGAGAGAGAGAGAGAGAGAGAGAGAGAGAGAGAGAGAAATGGAGAAACCTTGGTACCAAGTTGCTCAAACAACTTGGTAGTGATGTGGCCTAATCATTGTCCCTATATCTACATTGGAGTTGGTGAAGGATAGTTGAGGCTCTATCTTCGCAGGTGTTGATGTAGGGCAAGATTAGCCACATCACTACCAAGTTGCTTTAAGCAACTTGGTACCAAAGGTTCTCCATATTTTTATATATATATATATATATATTATTATATATATATATTATATATTATATGAGAAAAATATGTATGTTGGTAGTGAGGTGGCATAACCCCTTCCACTCATTTAAATGTTGCATATCCCCGTGTATCTTCTCATCTATATAATTGTCTTTCCATTTGAATGAGTAGAGGGGATTGTGTCACCTCATTACCAAGCACAAAATTTGTGCTTGGTACCTAACATACTCATCATTTCTCTCTCTCTCTTTATAATATATATATATATATATATATATATATATATATATATATATATATATATATATATATATATATATATATATATAGCGTTTACTACACAATTGCATCATGCCATCAAGAATTAATCTCTCTCATATACATCCAAAATCAGACAACTCTATACTGTAGTACGCTACAGCGCGATATCGAATATCTGATCCTTCAGTTCACTTAACTTGCACGGCTTCCTTCAATTAAGGAGCTGTTTGGTTGAATGGTTTTATAGAAAACTTTATAGAAAATGACTGATAGTGACAGTTTTGTAAATAAAACTTTTCTAGAGATTTTTATAAATTGTGTTTGGTTCAAAAAAAAATTTACAAAAATATTTTCTATAAAATACAGAAAAGTACCACATTTTATAGAAAGCAATTTCCGCTCAAAATGGACGGAAATCACTCAGAAATCTTACACATATATTAAAAAAATAATTAAGTACATTAGTACCTTTTCCATGTGATTTCCCATGGGCATTGTTAGTAAGCTATTTTCTATAAAGTGACATCCAACCAAACAAAAGAAAAAGAAAACAACATATTTTCTAGGAAAAATTGCTTCAAGGCCCCAAATTCATATTTTCAATGTGCCTTAGCCCTCCCAATTTTCAAACATGTGCTGCAGCCCCCTCTTTTTAAAAAAATTATTAAAAGCCCATCTCCCCAAGTTCTTATGCAAACTCCATACACAATCCCCATTTTACCCTCCCCTACACCCCCCTCCTCCTCCTCCGTTCCCCCTCTGCCCCCGCCCCGCCTCCCTCCCCTCCCCCTACACCTCCTTCCCCTCCCCCGCCTCCCTCCCCTTCCTCCTCCTCCTCACCGCCTCCCTACCCCGCTGCACCTCCCCCGCCTCCCTCCCCCCGCCTCCCTCCCCCGCTGCACCTCCCTCCTCCTCCTTCGGTCCCCCTTTGCCCCCTTCCCCGCTCCGCCGTCGGCGCCGTCCCGAGGAACTTCGCATGGGCACATTAATGTTAACTCTTTTCTGTAACATGTTAACTCTTTTTTGTAAAATGTTAACTTTTTTCTGTAACATGTTAGCTCTTATAGCTAACATGTTAGCTGTTAGAGTTAACATGTTAGCTGTAAGAGTTAACATGTTACAGAAAAAAAGTTAACATTTTACAGAAAAGAGTTAACATGTTATAAAAAAGAGTTAACATCCACTGACATGAAAAAGATGAGGGTAAATTCGGGATTTAAGTCAGCTGATATGTCTAATCATGAGCTAGCATGTCTAATCAACTGCTGAAATGAGCTGGAATCATGATGGAGGAGTGATGGAGGGGCTTGGACACATTTTTTTCAAAAAGGAGGGGCTAAAGAACATTAAAAAAAAATAGGAGGGGCTGAGGCACATTGAAAATATAAATTTAGAGCCTAGAAGCAATTTTTCCTACTTTCTATAAAGTTAGAAACTTTTTCATACTTTGAACCAAACAAAGAAATAGCAAAAAACAAAAAATATGGTACGCTTTTGAGTTCTATAAATTTTTCCTACAAATTTTATAGAAATACAAGGAAATCAAATTTTGAGTACTTTTCTTTTTCCTCTTTTTTTATAGAAATTGAACCAAACAGCCCCTAAACTGATTTTGGTTTCATTGATTTGCATTCTAATAAGTACCTCTCACAAGCCTTCAACAATTTCTTTCTTAATTACTTGATCAATTTCTCGTACAACCCTCTCCATTATCCCCCAAATTTCTTACATCAAGTATTTTCTTGATTCTTGTATTGATATTTGTAGTTACCTTTACTCTTTAGAACTGTAACTTGACTGAATGTTTGTCTTTAAATTAACTTTATTGTACACAACCAATATAACCCACTCAGTTCTATTTTTCTGTATTTTTATCATTAGCACCTTTTCTCTCTTTTTTTCCGATAAATTTACCCCATTTTTCATTCTTTTTTGTCTCCTTTTTTTCCCCATTCATATATTTAAACTTAGCACATAATGGTTTGTGGTATATGTTCTTGATCCTTGCACTGCTAGTTATTGTCTTGTATAATATGTAAGTTAGTGTATTTGAATAATTAAATCTTAATAACTATATTGTTGCGATAAAGATAAATAGCTGATCACTTCCATGAAGTTCTGTTAATTTTTAACTTTTAAGTTTATATTCTATAGGAGGAACAAAATCCTATTCCCGTGAGGGAAGTGTTCTTCTGAGGCCCATCTGCTTGAAGGGCTTAAATCCCAACCGGCCACCTCTTTCACTGGTGATTTGGATCTCAGCCCTTCATATTGGAGGGCTGCAGAACACTTATCCCATGAGAAGCCTTCTCATAAGATTCGAACTCCTATAATTTTCATGCATAATTGTGACTGGTCACAAGTGAAGAGTTCCATATTTAAAAGTTTTTATCACTTTTTCTAAATACAAATTGAAGGTGTCGACAGAAAAGGTATTTGTATGCCAGATTACAAATATCTATATAATTTGTTGAACCAATCACAAGGAAATCTGCAATATGGAACTAAAGTACTGATTTTTCTTGAATGGACAAATGCACAGATTCCTACTCACTGAGTAGCAAAATTACTACTTTCATGGACGTCACGGTCACTATGATTCATCAACTAAAAGGCACTAAACTTAACTGCATGTTAGATTAAGCAGAAGTTTATTCATGACTTGAACAATTCAAGTTTGTTTATGTTTCAAGTAAACATACCTTTGTGCTTCTATATATCATTATAAGCCTTGAAAATTGTTAAGATAGATTTGCTGCCCAAGCTAGAACCTTGCCTTTGTTGAAAGCTGCTATTGCTTGAGCATTTCCCTGCAAAAAGTGTTTTACATTTGCAAACAACTATACTGTTCTATGCGTTTTTAATGATTGAAATAGAAACTCCTCTTTCGATGTTAATATCATCTCTTCAAGTGCTCTACGCGTTGATTTTCTCATTGTATCTTTGTACTAGATTCTTTAGGAGCACATGATTTTCTCTACTTTTCAACTTGCATGGAACTTATTGCAGCTTAGGTTTTTTTTTTACTGAAGATGGTGAATATTTTACCCCACTGTTTCCGTCCTGCATCTAGGAACTTAGTCTTGTTATTTGACTCTATGGCTGTATGCATTCATCTGCAGGAGCTAAAGGAAAGGATTGAGAGAGTGAGAGTAAAGAAGAATGAGAATTTTACATCAGAACGAGAGTTCAGTGAAGAAATGTTGGAGATCCGCAAAGCTTTTGTTACCATACATGGTGAGATGGTACTTTTGAAAAACTATAGTTCCCTTAACTTTGCAGGTAAACCCCTGAGTAGGTTAGTCCGTGAATGTGAAACCAATCTGGAACTCCTTTTCCCGTTGGAAGCCGAGGTCATTGAGTCAGGCGCAGCAACAGCCAGAGACA